AGACGACGTATGATGACGTGTGACGTATAGTAGTGGTGTCCCAATTCTTAGGGGAATATTTTCACCCCTACCCCTTGACACTCTGTTTCAAGGGACAAGGGGAAGGGGTAGGCGGAGGGGTAGGGGAAGGGGAAGGGGTATAAAATAGAATTGGGATTGGGCCTAAGTATACAGTGAATACAAAAGTATTTAGTCTCACTTGATGTCTCCACATAACATACAAAATAACAATGCAAGTGTTGTCTATTGCTCAATGAGTTTTTCATTAGTTTTTATTTTTGTATTTTCCATTTTCCTTTCTTTTTCATTTTTTATTCAATTTAATTGTTAAAGTTTTACTAATTTTGTTTTGTTTGTCATTTTTTAAACGTCTATATAGTTGTATAATGTTTTTAATATAAATTATATAAAACTATACGTTTTTATTTCAGTTTTTGTTATTTTAGTATATCAAGCAAATAAAAAAAAAGAGAAATGGTTAACATTCATTACATTTTAAGTAATGAAAATGTTGATGAATGGTTTTAGTTTTTGTTAACTATAATAACCCTGCTTCAGAGGACTGAAGGCTGTTGATCAATCTTATAAGTGTTTTATCTCTCAGTCACAGTGGAGATAAGCTCACTGATAATCACCATCAGTTACATGGACATTAGTTTATTGCTTCCCTCTTTTACTGTACTAATGTTAAACTAAATCAGCTCTGACACTCTATAATGCTGTATCCTAACCTGCTGAGATGGGACAAACAACGCATGGCATTTTGTTGATCAAAATATGATAACCCTGCCTCCAGTGAAATCTTATTGGTCCAAAAACTTCCACCTCAAAATTAAATATTCAACATCATATACGTTCTCGGCTGTGATTGTGTAATGCCACGCAGCAGTTTTGCATTCAGTGTGAATAGACAATTCACATCGTCCCTCTTAGAAGATTCAGATATGGATATTCAATGTGTTTTTTAATAGAAACAATGGATTCCTATGGAGTTACTCACACAGATGATATTGTAGTGAAATATATATCCAGAAGGTCAGGGGTCAGAGATATATTTCTGCAGCAGTGCTCTTTACTCATCTCATGCGCAATACAGATTCAGTACTCAAAATGAATCAAGCACTTTATGGATTTAATATCACTTCATTTATTGGTGTTGTTGCTGCTGACCTTTGATTATTAAATTCCACCATTTATTTTTCATTGTATAAAATCAATCTTAAACTCACTTCTCCTGTATTCTGCTTCTGATACCAGCTAAAAGGTGGGTTTCCCATCACTCCATCTGTTATATTGTGTGAATTTGCTTTCTGCTCAGCACGATGGCTATTTTTGACCTCTGAGGTGAACGAATGGTCTGTTGACTGTCAGACAGATATTCACCTCATTAAAGTGAACATCCTGCATCCCCACATCTTCCATCATAGACGCTTCCTCATCGATGTTTGGTGTGACCACTCTGAATGCAGTACAGCCCTGTTTAAACATGCCTGCACAAACACACAAACAACCATTACAATTCACATTTGGAGCGACGGACATCGTTTCCTGAAGCATTACCACTTTAAAAACAGACAGTATGACTGCAGCCAGTTGTGTGATAATGTCTGGTAGAAAAGGTGAAAGGTCATTGTTTGGAGTGAGTCCTGGTCATTAAGCGTCTTAATTCTTAGAACTGCAGCATAATGCGAGTAATATACTGAGTGATAACTTCACGGGCTTTATCAGACATGGTGAAAAGAGAGAGAGATATGAGGAAAAAGAGAAGGTGAGAAAAGAAACAAGACTGATAGTTAAACTGATAGTGAATCATTAAGAGTAATTATCCAAAACAAATTAGATATGTGTCCTTGGTAGTTAAGACTTAAGTAATCTCAGCAATTACAGACCAGACAGCAGGATTTTCAAAAGTGTAAAAAAAAATAAAATTATATATATATATACACATACACATACACACACACACACACATATTAGGGCTGTCAAAATTAACGTGTTAACGCAAATTCATTTTAACGGAACTAACTAGCTGGTTATGTAGTCTTAAAGGATCGCGTTTCAGTCACTATTTCATATTCATTCCGTTGTCTGACAACAGAAACAGTAAAATATATCAATGAAAACAGTTTTATTGAGAATTTAGCTGCATCAAATTACAGTATGTGGGCACAGAGAGGAAAACAAATGTGTTAATAAATAATAAATGTACATTTTGCATGTTCAGAAGAAGTGAGCTGCCCTGTCCTGCAAATAATGTAAACAGGCTTGTGTAAGTAAATTGCTCAGTGCAAATAAAGAGAAGTCATGGGAACCTGGAATTTCTATGTTCTTTTTTTAATGTGTCTAAAAGACTTGAACAAGTTCTTTGAAAAACAGCTATGACCTTTGAAACATGTCTAGTCTTCATGCTCTATGTTGACTATGGTTTCACTAATAACAAACATACATTTAGATTAGGCATCCATGTTTGTCCATGGCCATGTTGATTAGAGTATTAAAAACTTGAAAAGTATTCATTTAAGGTACATTTAGAACAGATAAAAATGTGTGATTAAATTGCGATTAATCACGAGTTAACTCATGACAAATAATGTGTTTTTTTAACTTTAAACCGCATAAACACATTTCATTACACCAAATACACAAAATAATGTTCTTTTTAGCAGCATCATATGACCCCTTTAACTCATGACAATCATGCGATTAATCGCGATTAAATATTTTAGTCGGTTGACAGCCCTAATACATATAAATAAATTACAATTAAGACACTTAGCAGTAACTTCTACATTTTTCAAGATGTTATTCCAGTATCCCAAAATCAGAAAATTATACAATAGTGTACATTTTTTATATAAATAAACTATATATATATATATAAAAATATATATTATATATACTTCAAACTCAATTCAACAGTTTATATATAAAAATGTTGAATGTAACAACATACATATTACATAAAATATATCCTTTTTTAATATTTAATATTATTAAATATTACTACAATTTAAAGAAACTGTTTTTAAATGGCATATATTTAATATATACCACACACACACACACACACACACGTGATACAAAGCTGAATTTTCAGGATCATTACTCCAGTCTTTAGTGTCACATGATCTTTCAGAAATCATTCTAATATTATTCATTTATTGAAATATACAACTATTAGTAACTACAAACCAACATTTGGTTCTAAATAGTCTTCAATTTTTTTATATTGTACATTTTATTTTATTTTAATATTTATTTAATGTTTATTGAAAGTGCCTTATGCCTTGATGTTTTTTTTTAAACATTTTATTTCAGAGATTTTCCAGGGTCACTGTTGTACTCTAAAGTGTTTTTCACACTACCTCCACATGACTAAAGGTGATTATCCCTTGACTATAATAGCATGTGTTTGTGTATGTGTGTGTCTAACCTTTCCTCCTCAGGTATTCGGCCACCAGCGCTGCCACATGCACATAACACATGGCTGCCTGAAGAGAACCAAATAAGAGAACATGAGCTTCACAGTATGTTAAACATGCATGAAGACTTGTGTGTGTGTCACTGTGTGTGTTGTACCTCAGAGAGGTCTCCATTCTTCACGTGGATACGGGCCATGCTGTCCAGCCATGTCTTGCGGAGCTCAGGTGTGCTGGCGTAAGATTTGGCCAGACTGTACTGCAGGTCCACCAGCATCTCCGGATCTCTCTCGTGCTCCTTCATCTGAGCCGTGGCCATCAGTACAGTCCGGATCTTCTTGGTCAGGTCTTTCACATCAGATGGGAATGCTGTGTTCTGCAGGAGAGGGAAGGGGACGAGAGACTGTGTGTGAATGTGCAAATTTAAGAGTATTAGCTTGTGCACAACTTAATTTGCCCTGGAACAAGCTATTATGGTTCAATCCAATAGTTTTGAAATTGTGTAAATTGCCAAAGTAACATTCTAGATTTATATTTCCAATATATGCCATTCCTTTAATCTTTCTATTCATCAAAGAAACCTGAAAAAAAAGCATCAGGGTTTCCATAAAAATATTATGCAGTACAACTCTTTTCTATATCTATAATAATAAGAAATGTTTCTAATATGTGAATAAGCATATTTCTGTGACACCAAAGACTGAAGTAATGGCTGCTGAAAATACAGGTTTGCATCAATGGAATAAATTAAATTTTAAAACATATTCAATTGGAAGCGGTTATTTTAAATCGCAATAATATTTCACAATATTACTGGGTTTTTTCCCCCCAACACGGTCAAATAAATGCAGCCTTGGTGAGCATAAGAGACTTCTGTCAAAAACATTAAAAAATCTTACAATCCCCAAACTTTTGAATGGTAGTGTACATTAATATATTATAAATATATAATATATCTGAGAATGTTTCAAGGGTCATCTTAGATATCTGACCATTTGTACAAAAGAGTTTACATGTGACAAACAACATTTCTTTTCAGAGTTTTCAAAATCCTAAAAACTGCCAGTTTATTTCCAAAATACATTACATTTTTAATCCCCCCAAAAATCCGTCTGTCCCCAAAAACTAGATCATTCCCACAATAATAGGATCCATCTCTCCTCTTTTTTCAGGATTTAGTGTTTGCATGTAAGTGTATCTGAAATGAACTTACTTTGATAGTTTTGTCACTGTTGGCACAGTTGTTGATGATTGACAGCGACTGCTGGAACCTCGTCCCTCCTATTCCGATGACATCAGCGATCAGCTGACTGACGCCAATCACCACCTGAGGAGTCACAACCAATCACAACATGACGTCGCTATTACATCATCACGTGTAAAGACTGGATGAAGCAATCCAGACACATCCAAACACTGTGACTTCTGCGTCATGTGATAAACGTGGTGTTTTTCCACCTGCAGGTGCGTGCGGATGAAGGATTTGCGTCCAGTGTAGTCGAAGTTGCTCTTCATCAGGAAGTAGAGCAGACGAGCCGCGTCGCTGCGGATGGAGCTCAGTTTGGAGTTACAGCACTTCAGGATCTCATAGCAGAAAGATGCACACATATCCGCACGGCCCTCGAAAAACGTACAAGGAAACTGGACACACAGGAAAACAGCAGCATGAGCATTCTTCAAAAAATTATTTTACGTGTCCTAAATTCTGCTTTACTGTTGACGAATTCTGTGCTTTCGGTTTTATTTTTTCTGGATTCCAATTTAATGGTTTAATACAATTTCAATGATCATAAAGTCTGATCAATTGAATTCATACAACTATAACAATTTAATAATTTATTACAATTTTCTCTGTTTTAATTGATCTGGATCTATGATTTAATACACACTTATTATCAAAAACAGTGGTAATTAAATGAAGGCATAAATCATTAACCATTTAATTAATCTTTTAAAAATATAATCAAATGAAAATGCAACAATTCCTATTATTTATTTATGTTGTTAACAAAGTGCTGCGCAACAATTGTGTGATATTCCTTAAAAAATAAAGGTTTAATTATTTTATCTTTATTATATAAAACTGTGCAGCTCATTCACACAGAGACATGCAGACTCCATATTTAAATATCAGTCTTTTGGAGCTTAATTTTCACAGACCCAGTCCATATCACAATTTGATTAATTGTACACTTTTGATACTTTTGATTTATTAATCCACATTTTTCCAAATTCTGTGGCATTATGTGTTTTCTGTCTCTATTTTCCACACCACAGAAATCATAGGGCCCTAGTAAATGATGACAGAATTTTCATTTCTGGATGGACTATCCCATTAACAGCCATTGATTTATGTGCTTATTCTATTGTCACACCCACCTTGTAGATGAAAGTGCGAAGGGAAGTGAAGACCTGCTTGAGGGCCGTCTCTGATTGGTTGATTTGTAAGAAGCAGAGATGAACCTGGAACACTTTCTTCATGAGGGGATTGTGGCCGTGATCCAAACTCAGCTGAGTCTGAGTGCAAACAAACAAATAAACACACACACTGTTATCAGTGAGGAATAAAGCACATGAGCATCACTCGTGAGAGCAGGTGATGATGATGATGTCTGACCTTAAAGCCCATGATGAAGATGCTCAGTGTGTCCAGAACTGTTAGACAAACTTCTGTGGCAATGTTTCCTTCCAACAGAGACTGATTCAACACATCTGCATCTGAATGGCTGTAAGCTACAAACACACACACACACACAGATGAAAATTTGTTCATTGTTCATTGCAAAGATTTCAGAAATGTATCATTGCATCACTTGCTCAGCAGTGGATCCTCTGCAGTGAATGGGTGCCGTCAGAATGAGAGTCCAAACAGCTGATAAAAACGTCACAATAATCCACAAGTAATCCACACCACTCCAGTCCATTAATTAACGATAACGACCAAATTCATCATTATTAGCCGTTTTTAACTTTAACTTAGCTTCTGGCTAAAATACGAGTCCTTTAGCCATAATATTCCTTTCTCCAGTCATCTCATCTGAATCAGGAGAGAAATATGCACAGATCAATCGTTGTTTACAACCATTTACAAGCAGCATATTAGGTTCTACAAATTTGTCAGTGGGTTTTTATGTAAGAGGTCAAGAAGTGATTGAGTTCTTAACTGCAAGTGGTGTTATGGACTAGTATTTTGGCGAGACGCAGTTAAAAATGTCTTAATAATGGATTTGTTTCTTACAGACATGCAGCTTTTCATTTCATAAGATGTTAATTGATGGACTGGAGACGCATGGATCTGGAAATGGATCATTTGTGGATTATTGTGATGTTTTTATCAGCTGTTTGGACTCTCATTCTGACGGCACCCATTCACTGCAGAGGATCCACTGGTGAACAAGTGATACAATGCTTAATTTCTCCAAATCTGATGAAGAAACAATCTCATCTACATCTTGGATGGCCCGAGGATGAATACATTTTCAGCAAATTTTCATTTTTGGGTAAACTATTCCTATTCCTTTGACCAGTTTTCATTTTATCTCATAAATTAAGTCCAATTCTTCCAACATTAAATGTTACAAATAAAACAGAAGAAAGCTTTCTTTTCTGGTCTTTTATTGAAAGACAACAGAGAGCTGCAGATGTATTAGCTGGTTTTGTGCGCGTCTCACTGTGGTTATAGGTGTAGGAGTTGTCCAGACTGTTGAGCTGCTGCAGTCTCATATGCAAGGCTCCTGTCCTGCTGCGGGACACAGGAAGAGTCTGAGAGCGTCGCTTGTGAACCACCGGTCCTGAGCCCTCCAGAGTCCTGATGACAGAGTCAATATTTAACATCAGCTTCTATTATGAGCTCATTAAACACTCTCTGACAACAATAAAGCTTCTGTGATCATTATTAGTGGCCGGCTGATATGTGTTTGTTATTAACTGCTGTTGGTTTCTATAGAACACGTTGGCCATTAGCTGAGTGGTGGTTACTTAGTCAAAACATGCTATTATAAAACATTATTTAGATGTAATTTATTTATAACATGATATATTGGTGTAACACTTGATAATAGGGTTTCATTTGTTACCATTATTTTAAGTACAATTTGACATGAAATTGACATGAAAAACACTACTGAAGCTTTTATTTACCTTAGTTAGTTAATTTCGATATTCACAAATACATGATTAAAATCAAAAGTATCTGTTAATATTATTTAATAGACCTGAACTAAAATGAACAATTGTATTTTTATTAACCAACATTAATTCAAAGATCAATAAACACTGTTGCAGATATATTGCTCATTGTTCAAGTTAGCTTTTAGTACCTTATTGTAATGCGTTACCTATATTTCTATATATTACTCACTATATCTTTATAATCTACTATTATAAACGTGCAATATTAGTAAATGTTTGTTAAAAAAAAGACATTACCTTGCAATGTGTCTCTTTCCCATATATCTGAACTGATGAAGACACACTCTGAAATCAGACGAGAAATGAATGATGAGACAGGAGTGTGTGTGTGTGTGTGTGTGTGTGTGTGTGTGTGTGTGTGTGTGTGTGTGTGTGTGTGTGTGTGTGTGTGTGTGTGTGTGTGTGCGGCGAAAATAATGACAAACATAAATTTCCTTAAAATGATGCCAACATTGTAAAACAACAAACAAGTTTTACAAAGCACATCAATATTCAATGACATAATAATAAACTCACAGAACTGAAGCTGAATGATCTCAATCTGATCTATGATGAAGCACATAGCAATTTGGAGTTTGGTGCCATTAGTGAATTTTAGAGGTGTGTATGTGTGTGTTTTCTATCTGTAATAAACCCATGATTCATTAGAAGTGTTGTTGTTTTCTGTCCAGAAATGTGTTTGAGCAGGAGTTTTAAAGCTATGTGTGAGTGAAATATAATGTTATAAAATAAGGATGTAGAAAATGTTAAATGAATTAACACAATGATTTTTTTAACACATTCACAAAACTTGAGAATATTTCTGTTTCAGTTTTCTAATTACTAAAGCTGAAAAACTGAAAGATCATTTACATATCAAAGTCTTAAAGGTACAGCTGGAAAAAAAAAAAACCCCGCCTGCCTTCTGTTGAACACAAAAGAAGATCTTTTGAAGAATGTTGGTAACCAAATAGTACTAGAGTAGCCATTGACTTACATAGTATTTTTTTTCCATACTATGTAAGTTAATGGCTACCGCCAACTGTTTGGTTACCAACATTCTTCAAAATATCTTCTTTTGTGTTCAACAGAAGAAAGAAACTCATACAAGCTTCTTGAGGGTGAGTAAATGATGATTTTTGGGTGAACTATCCCTTTTATAAGTGACCCTCAGGGAAAACAATGCAATATGACCCCTTTAAGACAGTCAATCATGATCTTCTAGCTAAGGGAACGGAGGATCAGTAAAGCCAAATGCTCACACAGGCACGTCAGACTGGGACAGTGTAGGGTAAGAGGTCAAAGGTGAGTGGTAATAACAGAGCTGCAGGGCAGGGGTCATAGGTCAGCAGTGATGTAATACTTGTGTAGGGGGTGTGTGTTGCTCAGTTGGTGTAGACAGCAGAGAGAAGTCCATGGTCTGGCGTTTGAGACGTGCAGAGAGAGACCTCTCCTCTGAGTCAGTAAAGAAACGCAGCATGCTGGAAGAGTGACGGCGAGTGAAACGCTCCCGCTGAACGCCGCGACAGCAGGAGACACACAACCACAGGTTAGCACACACACACTCCTGTTCATACAAGGATAAGCATACATCCATACACACATACTGCGACACATAAACACAAAACATGATAACGGTCCATCATAAATAATGTACACAGAAGTGAAAATCAGGTCATGTGAGCAGTACCTTGTCTAGGGGGTGTGGCTTGTCAATGCTGCGCTCTGATAGGCCGTTTCCAGAGTCCGTGCTGATAAGAGAGCTGCGCGAGTCAGTGTGCCGTACAGAGCTCATGGTCGGAGTGTGAGGAGAGACTGACAAACACAAACACCTCAATATACTGGACACAATCACTCTCAAATTATATTTCTCACAGAACAATAATCTGAACACAATTATTTCAACCCTGTAAAGCCTGACATAGGAAATAATAGTAAAAAATCTAATTTGTTTTAAAATGGAAGTTTACTGAATGTTTGCACAAAATAAATGACAAAACAAAATCTATGAAAATTTGTTTTTTATTGAGTATCATATTTGAGACATCAGGCATTTATGGCTCATATAGTATGAAGAATATTAGAGAATATTGAGCTCATACTTGAGGAGGAAAGAAACACCTCAGTTTTATTCATAGGCCCAAAATGAGCAAAAATTATATTTGGTGCAGCTGCTGATATTTATATGGCCAAAAAGTAAGATGAAATTCTGATAGACCTTTCTAACAGTATAACAGATTACTTGCATAAAATTAATATCACTTGTCACTCTATATCTTAATAATGTCTGTAAGATGACTTTTAAATGCTTAGTTTATGAACAAAACACAGAGCAAAAATTATATTTGGTGCAGCTGCTGATATTTATATGGCCAAAAAGTAAGATGAAATTCTGATAGACCTTTCTAACAGTATAACAGATTACTTGCATAAAATGATAGAAATCTCACTTGTCACTCTATACTCAATAATGTCTGTAAGATGAATTTTAAATGCTTAGTTTATGAACAAATCACAGTGGTTTTAATTGTTTGAAACATATAATGCAATGCAATACAATGATGACTGAGCCTGATGGATCATATTTATTAAATACAATACATCTGATGTATCATATTTAACATGATTTTTCTAAAAAAAAAAATAAAAAAAAAAAGATGTATGAGTAATCTAGTACAGTGTTTCCCAACCTTTTTTTAGTCACGGTACCCTTTGGAAATTTTAACAAACTTGTGGCACCCTACAAAATTAATTTTGTCACAATATAAAATATTAAAAAATAATTTTTTTTACACGGCACCCCTGCTCTCGACAGACGGCACCCCAGGGTGCCGCGGCACCCCGGTTGGGAAACACTGATCTAGTAAACCTTAGTTGCTTCAGTCCAAGTGTCATTCTTGTAATATTACTATTACTAACCATACAAAAGTTATTCTTACATTTACTTTATAAATGACCTGAAGGGGGACGTTTTTACAATCATACTGAAAGGCATTTTTCTTGCTAAAAATATAAACTATCAATCAGATGGCAGAAGGCATGTAGTAGACTGTGTACAAGAGTTTTTACAAAAAAAGTTTTGATCATGCTTATCATTTATAGGCTTTAGAAATTGTCATTTAAAAAATGTGATATAGTGGGCTTTATAGGGTTAAATGTCCAGGATGACTGACTGTGATTATGCCATGTTGCACAGCATTTTCAATGAGGGAAAACAAATTACTTGTTTCTGTAACACGGTCAGATAGCGGCTGGTTAGGACGCTGTCTCTCACCTGTTCCTGAAATCACTCCAAGTACCTCTTTATGCAGGCTGCTGTCCACTGGACTGGCCACATTTTTTGTAGGCGTCATCATTACATGATCATCACGGCCATTCTGAAGCAATACAAACAGAACAGAACAGAACTCACTGCATATTCATATCATTCATATCTTTTTTTCTTACTACACTTTTTTTTTTTTTAAAGTAATTATTTGAAATCTGATAACTGTGATTATGCCATGTTGCACAGCATTTTCAATGAGGGAAAACAAATTCCTTGTTTCTGTAACACGGTCAGATAGCGGCTGGTTAGGACGCTGTCTCTCACCTGTTCCTGAAATCACTCCAAGTACCTCTTTATGCAGGCTGCTGTCCACTGGACTGGCCACATTTTTTGTAGGCGTCATCATTACATGATCATCACGGCCATTCTGAAGCAATACAAACAGAACAGAACAGAACTCACTGCATATTCATATAATTCATATCTTTTTTTCTTACTACACTTTTTTTTTTTAAGTAATTATTTGAAATCTGATATTGATATCAATTCTTAACATCTCAAGATGTATCGTTTAGTGTTCACCTTTTTCCAATGGATGTGTGAAGTTGGGGGTCAGTAAAAATGTTTTATGTTTTTGAAATCTGGAGAGTTTTTCCAGGGATGTTTTTGTTTTGATTATATTTTTGAAATTGTTTTCTGTTCTATTATACTCACCAAGGCTTTTACTGTATATTTGATCAAACATTCAGTACAAATGATAAGTAACATTGTGAAATATTTAAAACAACTGTTTTCTATTTTAATATAGATTACTCCAGTCTTCAGTGTCACATGATCCTTCAGAAATAATTCTAATATGCTGATTTGCTGCTCAAGAAACATTTATTATTTTTTCTTCACTATCAATTTTGATGACGCATACTTGCTGAATAAAAGCATTAATTTCTTTTAAAAATCCAATCCAATCTGTTCATCCAATAAACGGAATGCTCTGACTCTGTGTAAGTTTCTTCTGAGAAACACAAGATATTCTAAAGAATGTTTTAACAGTCATTGTTCATCCAGACTGACTTTCATTGTATGGACAAAACCACTATAACATTTAATTTGGCATTCTATAGAAGAAACTACATCAGGTTTGGAATGACATAAGGGTAAGTAATTGATGACCAAATTTTCATTTTCAGTGAACTATCCCTTTAAACCTGCAACAAGCCTGCGTTTGTAGTAATATGTGCTTCTATATGGCTGCACAGTCTGAAACAAACACTAGGTGTCAGTCTTACAACGTTAGTCTGGTTGTTGACAGGAGACGCCTCTTTAATGTTGAGCCTGTGGACGTTTTCCAGCAGCAGACTGAACAGAGGCAGGTACAGCGTAGCCAGGCGAGCCTGCTGACCCTGAAAAACAGACAAAACACACGCTTTATATTTAATACATACACAGTTGTGTTCATAGCACAATAATACCAAAATGACACAGTGCTTATTTACCTTGGAGGAGTAGCGATCGTCAAAGGCGTGTTTGATCATCAGGTTCTTCAGCACCTGTACAGCGATCTGACGGATGTCTCTGAACTCCTGCAGGCCTCCGCCCACTTCCCTCAGCAACAGCCCCACCAGGAAGTGATTCTTACAGAAATCATCAGTTAAAGAGTAGTCCAGCTGAAGATCTGACAGAGACACAGAGAGAAGGATGTGAGTTCAGGACCGAAAATACAAAACATCACTTCTGAACTATAGAAATGGAAACAACAGGCATTATAACTAAAGAAACAGAAATTATATCAGAATAGTTCACCCCAAAAATACAACTTCTGTCTTCATTTACGGCATGTTCACATTCAAACAATAAAACATCAAATAAATTGTTTTTCACATTTGCGTGACTATGATGCATTTAAATGTTTTAACTGAACGTGACTACATTTATGCATGTGTAGAAGTATGGACTTTATTATTACTATAAAATAAAATATATTATTAAAAAAATAATCAAATTGTATTTTGACTGTAGTGTATATCAGAGCAGTGGTTCTCAACCTTTTTGACTCCAAGGCCCCCACTGTTCACAACAATATTCGAAGACCCCATGACTTTTCCAGTTTTTGTGATTTACTTTATAAGAATTAAAGTATTTTGTCTTCACAATTTCTATCTGGTAAAATATTTTAGAGCTTGGCATAACTAGAAAAACTTACATTTATTATAAATAAATATAATATTTTAATAATTTGCATTACATTTCCAGGTCTAGAAATCACACTTTTTAAAGTAGACTATCACATATTCAGGGTTTTCAAGACCTTGGGAATCTTAGTTTTTCAAAGAAAAAATGAAAATAAGAAATATGTTGATTTGTAGTTGTTTTAATGCTTGTTCTGTCTTATTTTAAATCATTTAAGTCATCTTAAGGCCCCCTTGGATGTTTGTTGAAGGCCCCTGGTTGAGAACCCTTGGATTAGAGCAAGACAGCTATTTTGAAGGTCATAATAAAATTTAATAATCATGTTAAAAATTGAGAGATATCAGCCTTCAGTCCCATTCCATCAATATTCTACAAGGTCTTTGACTTTCACATGTTTCTGCTCTTCTCTTTAATGATGGCTCACCTTGAAAGCGCTGGATTCGGCCCTTCCCGAACGGCATGGGCAGATTGAGAGGAACGTAGTGCTCATGATTACAGACCACCTTCAGAAACTCAAACTTAAACTCATACAGCGCCTGAGTGAGAAAGAAACAGAGAAAGAGAGGCATCAGATTGCACCATGGGAAATCTTTCTGAGATGGAATATATAATTGAAGAAAAAAAAAATCTCATATTCGCTTGTAAATGGAGATAAACAAGCAGAACAAATTACTTTTGCGTCTCCGGGCATGAAGCAGTTGATGTAGTTGTTGATCTGTTTGAAGACGAACCCTCTGTCCATGAAGGTGAAACAGCGCTGGTGAAAACGATCAATGGTTGAGTTTACTGACTGATTCAAGACAACATCAAAAACCCTTCCTCAAACTAATGTACAACTTATTACTGGTAAAGATGGCAGACATTATAAACATTCTCATAGTTATTGCAGATCTAGGTTTGTTTTACCACAAAGTTCAAAATTTTAACTATCCAGTGCTTCACAGAACCACACTAGCGTGCTTTTACGAGAGCAGCAATTTGGATTGTGGTTAATGTGATCTGAATTCACAAGTAAGCTTCTATTGATGAAGTACATTTTGCTGGAATATATCACCAATGCAGAACGAAGCAAAGCAAAGCAAAACAAGAAGCAAAGCAAAACAAAGCAAAGCAAAGCAAAACAAAGCAAAGCAAAACAAAAAGCAAAACAAAGCAAAACAAAGCAAAACAAAAAGCAAAGCAAGCAAAACAAAGCAAAGCAAAGCAAAGCAAAGCAAAGCAAAGCAAAGCAAAACAAAACAAAACAAAACAAAACAAAAAATTAAATTAAATTAAATAAAAACTTCCAGATCTCGAGCCTTGATGCTTGATGACTTCCTCATAGTGTGAAAGCAGACCAGCAGCTCGGCTCACCTTGATGAAGACAGCAAGGCTGTGATTGGCGTTTCGTGTTGCGTCCAGGTTGTCTTTGTATTTCTGTGTGATATGAGGCATCAGCATGGTCACCAAGGTCTCCATGGAGTGATAGAATGAAGCTGAGAAACGCTGGTTCCTAGACACCTAAAGGACACGGCAGGGGTCAAATCAAAAACTGCCATGAAAAAAAAACATCAGATTTATGCACTTATGAAGAAGTTCAGAAATTAACTAGATTTTAACATTTTCAGAAGAACATATGAGTGGTGTTTGTTTGCTGTGATGTTACCCATCCTCACCTTGGCCTTGCCTGTCTCAATCAGGTACTGAGCCATAGACTTGACTAAAACCTCAAAGAAATACCAGGAGTACTAGAGGAGAAACAGCACAGATTCAAGAGGATATACAGTACCTATAACACATGCAACAGCCACTAAACCATGAACACTGCCGTAGTCCTTACAAATTTATTCAAGAGTGCTATTAGTATACTTCTTTTAAACTATAAATAAGAGAGTATACTTTCAATTTACTTTGTATGTACTTACCAGAGACATACACAGAGACTACAAAATTATATAATACTTGAGCATACTTGGCTCTTACTGACAAGTATACAGAAAAGTCTATCTATATACAGTAATTGTACTTGTTTTTTGATCGAGATATCCTTCAGAAAAGTATATTTCAGTATTCGAAATACACTTTCCTTGTAGTTGTATTTACATTTTTGACAGAGTAGTATATGAAACACTTTTTTCCACGCATACAGTATAGGTGTCACACCCCAGGACTGTTTGTTGTGTTTTCATCCCCCATGTGCTCTGTGTGACCCAGTTTTCCATCTATGTCTGATTGTCATTTGGTTCAGGTGTGTCTTGTTAATTATCCTCATTTACCAATGTATTTAAGTTGTGTTCAGTCCTGTGTTCCCTGGTCCGGTCTACTACATCCCTACGTGTGTCTCCTGCCTGTTCTGTCCTGGATTTACCCTTGTGCCGATTTATTAAAGACTATTTGCATTCATCTTCATCTTCTTCGTGCGTTTATCTCACTGTAGCATGACAATAGGCTTCTTTTAGGTAATACTACAGCATATGATTTACATACTATCCGATAAACTTACACGTTTACTTTTTTATTTACATTTGGCTGATTTTATCAACAATTGCTCAACGGTATAAGTCAAGCATATGAGTGATGTTAAGTTCATTTGAAAACCTACTTTCAATATAAAACCTATTAAACTATTATACAGTGTATTTTCATAAACTCAATAGACAGCTAGAATTACATTTAACTACTATTAAACTAAGAGTACTCATAAGTAGGGTTGCAAAGGGGTGGAAAATGTCTGGTAAATTTCCGGAAACTTTCCAAAAATCCCTGGAATATTCCCCAAAATCCTGAAAAGTTTCCAAAATTTCTGGAATATTTCCGAAATTTACTGGAAATTTTCCACCTTTTTGCAACCCTACTCATAAGTTCATATATGAACTTCATATAGTTCACAGTATAGTTGCAATAGTGAGAAAACTTGTAAATATGTAAACTAGTCAACAAAATGACCACAGTTACACTTTAAGTACACTTAAAAGCATACTTTTCTGAACTAAAAAGTAATTTAGGAAGTTTTGAAATAGTACACTTACAATTATACTATTAGTACACTGATTTTATTATACTTACTACATAATGTAAACTTAAAAAATTAACTTGAACCTTAGTTTAGTTAATAAAACAAATTTGAAGTGTGCTTCTTCATTGTGAGGGATGTTTTAATCTGATTCACTGGTTGTACCTTCAGCAGTTTGTTGCTGGTGAGGAAGTCAGTTGAGGGTTTCAGGATGGTGGTCATGGTTTTTGCCAGTTCCTCATGGACAGTTTTACCATTGGTTAAGTTTGTCTCCTCCTTCAAAACATACTACTCAAAAACAAAACACAAGAAAACAAGAATGATGATATAAAGGGTTATAGTCAAAAATACTTGTTTGACATCACAAGCAAAACGTGATGTATCATGATGCAGCGCACCTTTACATAAGAACGCAAGTGATGCTCCAGACCCTCTTCATGACACTGAGCCACGACATGGATCATCACCCTGACGAGAGAAGAGACAAAATGAGGAGCAGGGTTTTATCATTAACTAAAACCAAAACCCAAAACCTTTTTTGTTAACTAAACTAAACTAAAATATTAGATGGAAAAACTTAAAGTAAACAAAATTTTAAATGTTGTCAAATAAATAAAATAAGATGAAGCAATAAAATGAGCTGAAAATGATATAAAAAGAAATGTAACCTAAATAGTATTATAAAAAACACACAATGAAAAATGACAAAAGCAAGTAACAAAATTACTAAAAATGAAACTAAAATTAAAATGAAAACTGAATATATATATATATATATATATATATAAAATCTAATTTAAAATATTAATAAAAACTACGGTAACACTTTACAATATGGATCCATTAGTTAATGTTAGTTAATGTATTAACTAACATGAACGAACCATGAACAGTACATTTATTACTGTATTTATTTTAATAAATGTTGAAATTAACATTAACTAAGATTAAGAAATGCTGTAGAAGTATTGTTCATGTTTAGTTCAGGTGAACTAAAGCAGTTAACTAATGTTAACTAATGAAACGTATTGTAAAGTGCTACCAAAACTACTAAAATAACACTGTAGCAGACACCCTACAGCAGGTGAAAGCTGCTCAGCACAGACCTGGTGACGTTCACAGCAACATCATCCTGACCGGAGATGGTGAGCACACGAAACAGCTGGTTCAGTATGGTGGGGAGGAACTTCACCATCACATGAGCCTCCATGGCATGCAGACTCTGTAGAGGATGAGAGAGCTCGAACTGTGATCTCAGGATGAGATGGGTGAGAAACGCCTGCTAACGCAGTCTAAACAAACACCTCCAGGCCTCAAACATCCTCAGGAAGGACAAACAGCAAGTACCTTCAGGTATTTAATCAGTTCTCCTCCTGACTGGCCTGTGGATTCAATACTCTGGCAGTGATGAAAGAAGTTATGCAGATGTTGATCCTGATCAGAAAGAAAAGTAAAAAAAATAAGTATTAACGCTTAATATCACATTTTGTATCTGATTACTATGTGACAATTCTGATCTGAGATGTGCAGGTAGACACTTCATACCTGTGTGTATACAGTGGACACCAGCTGTGTGGAGACTTTGAGCAGTGGCCTCCCACTATCCACCCACTTCACCTCTTGACCAGTGTGCTGCTGCAACACACACACACACACACACTTTAGCCAGCTAGACTCTTCAAACCAGGGTTTCTCAAACCGGGTTCATGAACCCCTGGGGTTTTTGGAGGGAACTGCAGGGGGTTTGTGAGTTGATGAAAAGCTATTTAATTAAATCATAAAATCGAATATGAGGTTACACTTTATTTTAAGGTGTCCTTGTTACAGTGTAATTATACATATACATACTGAGTAATATTAATTAACTACATGTACTTACTTTATGGTTAGGGTTAGGATTTGGGTTTGGCTTAGGGTTACTTGCATGTAATTATGCATAATTAACTGTTATTATAATAGTAAGTACATGTAAAATGTAACAAGGCCATGTTAAAATAAAGTGTTACCGAAAATGAAAATAAATATTTTTTTAAATAAAACAATCAAAATGTAACGCTTATTAAAAAAGATTAAATATTTTATTTGTTTACCTCCATGTCACATGACCATTAACCAACATGTCAGTGAACATGTCAACAACTGTGAACATGCAAATGTGTTGTTAAACAACTGAAGTATTAACTTAAAATCTCAGGGGATACGGTAAGTAAATATTTTAGGGTTTCAGTTGACAAAAAAAACATCAATTTTCAGGTACTTCAAGTAGAAATTCATGCTCTGTCATGATTATATGCAAATTTCAGCCTCCAAGTATATGTACCTGTATACTTCAATGGTGAATTTTGCAATACATTTCTAATTAACACATCTCAACTCAACTCAAAACAAAAACAAAACATAACAAAATACAAAAATAACAAAACAAACGGAACAACAAAAAACACAACACAACAAAACATGATAAAACAAACAAAAACGAAAAACAACAACAATATAATACAACAAAACAAAAAAAATGCAAGAAAAAACAAAACACACACACACACACAAAATAAAAACCACAACAATACAAGAAAACAAAAAACAAACAAAAAAACAACCAAAAAACTAAACAAAACAAAAAACAACAACAATACAACAAAACAAAAAACAACAACACAAAGCAACAAAACACACACACAAAGCACAACCAAACAAAAACCAAAACAAAAAAAACACAACACAATGCAACAAAACAAAAACACATGTGCACACACACAAAAGACAACACCACAAACAAAACAAAACCCACAACAATACAACAAAACAAAAAACAAACTAACAAAAAAAACCACACAAAGCAACAAAACACACACACACACACACACACACACACACAAAACACAACCAAACAAAAACAATT